TCAACCAACCAAGAACAAAATACTGGGGGCAAGCTGCACCTGTAGTGAATATGTGCACATTTTTTTGTCATTATTCACTGAACAATGCAGCTATTTACATAGCATTTACATTGCATGCATTATTCTGAGTAATCTAGAACTAATATAAAGTATAGGGGGATATACACAGGTTTTATGCAAGTATATGTACAAAATATGCCATTTTATACGAGGGACTTGAGTGTCTGAGCTTTGGTATGGGCAGGGGTGATGGACTACGTTCCCAGGGAGGCCGAGGGAGGACGACACACAGATTGAGCTTTGTATAACATACACTTCCCGCAGAACTCATCTGTTATTGACATTTTAGTGCAGTTAGCTACCAGATTCCACATTTCCTTGTGAGAATATTTGGATGTAATCAGGAGAGGGGAAGAATGGAGCTTTTGAGTCTCTCTTTTGTCAAACACATTTAATGCAGACTAGAAAAAAGTCATCCAAAAGAAGCACTCCACATTATTCGTCTATTAGAACAGCATGTACCAACCATAGTTATAGATAAAATCTGAACTTACATGCGTACCGACTCAGTGAATGCAGTTGTATTTATTTTCCATTAACTTTTTTTCTTCTGCCGGGACTAATGAAATTCTTTGAAATCATTGGACTTAACACCATTGATTTCTATTTATCATCCTTTCAGCAAAATTCGGGTAAAAATATTTTTAGTCAGTATCAAAATTCACCTTTATTCAGTAGAAAGGTCCTAAATATTGCAGAAGATTCAGTATTGATGAAAGCCTCTAGGTTTCTTGGCATGGTTTCATGAAATAAAAATCCCATTACTCAAGCCAGCAAAGTGATTTACAGCCTTACTCATAGCACTTTGGGAGGATTTGTAGAAACATTCCCTTTAAAAAGGAGACAAAATTGCCATAAATTTTTTCAAAAGGTTCTGACAGTTTGATGATTTGCAAATAGAGCGATAATCTTTGGCCCATTCAATTCAGTACTCTCATACTGAAGACTAAATTTACACACCTGTAAAATTGGTATTTTTCTGCTCATATAGATTTAATAAATCCAAACACACTCTTTTTAAAAACATAAAAATGATAGGTGCGATTTAATTTGTTGCTTAAGAATTTTCCAGCATTTTCTCTCTGTTTTAAGGAATTTTGAGATGAAAATTAGTGAAGGAACATCCCAGAAGAACACTGCATCTCAGGAATACAGAGGTACTTCTGATGGTTTAATTCTCTTCTTTTCATTTTAGTTATTTACTGAGGACAAGAATGTTGGTAAATAGGACAGACCCAGGGATTTATGACTTAGAATTAGTCACTTTATATTTTCTTAGAATCTTCTTTCTTAAAGAAAAGCTCTACTTAGCTTTTCTTGAATTTCAGCTTAGATTTCCCAAATGAAGCTGTTTGACCCAAACCAATGAAATCCATCACTAGCTCAGACTGCAAGAAAGGGTACAATGGCTGAATATACATTCCCACTTCTGCCACCCACCAATCTCCTTCCCTTTCTTTAAGATTCAGAAAGCATCTTCTCCCCAGTCCTAGCTACTCCATCCTCTTTGCAGAGCTCATGCTGTGATTTGGGCGAGGTTAACCACTAAGGGTCCCTGAGAGGGATTGATGTAGTTCTCCTGGGACCCTAACTAGTTCTCATGAGAAAGTTGTTATAAAGAGTATGACTAGCTCCCTCTCGGGCTTCATGTCCTACTGTGTGATCCACCATCATGTGCTCTCAACATGTTCCCTCCTGGCATCAGGAAGGCCTGCCCCAGAGGCCACACAAATGGACCCGATCCTGGACTCCAACATCCAAAACTGAGCTCAATAAACCTCTTTTTATATAGAGCACCCGGTCTCTGGTATTTTGTTATAACAATGGAAAGCTAACACACATGATAATTTTCAAATATTAATATTGATATTTTCATTGGTTGATAGCCCAATCAGTTGTCCAGTAAATAGCCTGACCAGTCACTGGGGCTGCCCGGTTGCCATATGAGGGAACAGCGGGGGATGAAAAAATAATATGCAAAGTGTATGGAATAAAGAATAAAGAATGAATGATAGTTTGTTACTTGGGAGGCCGGGAATTGATCATTAGCTCTCTCCTGCCTAAAAACCGCCTGATCTTAGGTCTGTCATCTCTAGGACCATGAGCACTGGGTTAGTCAGTATTTATGATTATACAACATAGAAAGGGGGTGTAGGAAATAGGAAAACAAAAGCACATAATGAATCAGACTTGGAAAAGGGAGAAATTGTGTATACTTGTGAAGGACAGGTCACAGTTAATAAGCCACCTGTGCTATGTTACAGGTCATAGCTAACAAGCCACCTGCATTATCTTGCTAATGTTTGCTCTTGGAGAAGGGTTGCACAGAGCCCTAATTACTCAGCTGCAGGGTTTCCTCGCTATAGAGACATCACAGCCTCATTGATCATTGAGACCTCAGTCCTGACCATTTGCATAGGGAAGTCTGTCTTACCACCAGCCAAAAGGTCAATTAGCAATTCACAATTTGGCCTGGGATTGACTCATAATCAATGGCCAAATTCATAAGCCAAATCAATAATATCTAAAGCCTGCTCAATGTGGTTTCAAGCTGATCTCCTGCAAAATGGTAACCAAATAAATTATTTCACCAATTTAAAACTGCATCTTCAATATATCTTTGAGAAATGCTTCTTGCCTTTGGAATAATTTGATTAGGTATTTGATTATATGTAGATTATGTGTATATGTTTTAGTATGTAGAAGTCTATATTTTTATGTCTTTCAGAGCACTTCAAAAAGTTAGCAAGCATGGTATGGGCCACATGGTGTCACATAGTGAATATTTTTTTCTGGATCAATTATCTTTTAGTATAATTAACTAACTACAATGTTATGGCTTGTGTCTAGATGTCTCCCCAAGCTTTTTCAGAGGTGGTTGGATCAGGAGTGTGTGACTGAATTATGGTGTGATACTAGGTTCAAGGGTACTAGGATTAAGGGTGCTAGGATTGAGGGTGGCTGATTACTAAATCAACTCTCTGATTTGGTACCATCCTCATTCTGGTAGCCTGGATGGAATATAAGGCACAGAAAGAGGCTTGTCTTGCCCCTCACTTGCTTTGCTACCTTCTGTCCACCATGATCTGTTTATCTCCTCTGTGATGTGTCTGCCATGTCCCTGCTGTGGAGCCAGCTGATTATGGACCAAAACCTCTACAAATTGTGGGCTAAATAAACCTCTTCTCCTTTAACTTTGGGTGTCAGGTATTTTGTCTGAGCAACAAGAAAAGTAACTGAGACATAAGACTATATATAGATAGCCCTTGGGTATTACATACTTAATATTTTGATGTATTTTTTATATATGCAAGCGTGGCATTCTGTTTCCACTGATTTTTTTTTATTTTACACAATTAAAAGCAGAAAATATATATTGTTTTATTATTTCATTTTTTCCACATATCACAATTATTTTCATGCACCTCAATGTGATTTTAATGGTCTTATGTTCTCACATGACAAAAACTGTGTATTTTGTTTACACATTCTCATCCTCTTGAAAAGGTTTAGATTTTTAAAACCTACCCGCTATGATTGACATACTTGTGTACTTTACCAAATCAGGTTCATTTTGCCCACTGCTCGATACGCCAACTGCTGAAATGAGCAATTGTTCACAAAAGAGGGAGGGTCTGTTTCCAAGGCAGCCAGGCATAGAGACAGGGGTGGGGGTAGGGGTCCGTCTCAGATCTGCTGTGCCAGGACAGGGGCTACGAGCGTTTGTGGAACAAGGAAGGTGGGTGGTCTGAAGAGTGGTGAGGGCCGATCTGAGGTGAGGAGAAGTGGCACTTAGAGGTGTGTGCCTGCGTAGTCAAACTCCCTGGCACCTCAAAGGATGCTTGCTCAAAAACAGCAGTACCTGAGACTGGGGACTTCCTAGGAAAATGAGCTGACGCTCACCAAGTTGTCAATCCTTTCCCTAGTATCATATGATTTTAATCGGCATAGACTTAAAATGCCTTGCCAGCTCCGTCTTTAGAAGCCAAGCTTCCCTTTGATTATTTTGCTGACTTTGACCTCTTACAGACTAAATCAACTTTCTAACCCAGAGGCTGGCAAGTAATCCCACATATTTTAATATTACTTTAATACAGAGCATTGGATATTAATAAAGCAGCCTTCTCAAGCCACTCTACAAACCTCCTGGATAGCTTTACCTCCCTCTCACCAGGAAGTGGAATGCATGTAACTCTGTGGTTACATCTGAAGTTTCATGACATTTTGCCATGCAAAGCAGGGCCTACTGTGCGTTTCCTGACACACCTTGCTATTTGTAGCCATTAAGAAGCCTATTTAAACAGCTAGGAAAAAGTGAGTTTATCTTTGTGACTATTTCTGTGGTCAAAATTGTGAAGGTTAGGTATGCTATATTTTCCTTAAAACATCTCTTCCATTTGACTCTTCTCACATCGAGTCACTTTTTAAACTTCATGGAGCAGGTGTTTGTAAGGAAACCACTCAAAAAGTGTGCAGTGCTGAGGACTTCTCTCGGTGTCTGACATAACTGGTTCAGCACTTCTGTTCTCTAACTCCCATCTAATGAAATTAGTTTGCGTCTTCATCTACAAAGTTAAGAGAACAGTGGCACTGTCTGAGGGAGTTGGTAGAATTGCTAAACGGGATTATGTGGGGAAGGGTCTGAACGTGACATCTGACACAAACATGTGTACACACGAAGGAATGCCAGCTTTAGGGGTGCACCCACCCGCTCGCAGCCCTGGGCGTCTTTGCAGACTGCCTTGCTCCACCCCTCTTCCTGGGAAGATGAAGATTTGCCATCGGACCTCTCTTTTACGCTCATCCCGGATCCTAGCTAACGTATTTCTTCCTGCTTGTTCCCCTCCCAAAGAGAGAAGTTCCTCCTCCCTGCGAGGCTGCCCATGTGCTGGATCACCTCCCTCCCTCCCTTCCCTCTGCCTCCCTTCGCTCCTGCCTTTCCTCCCTCTCTGAGCTCTGCTTAGTTCATCTCGAAGACCAGCAATCCTCTACATGGGCTCTGTCCCTTTCTTTTTATTGTGAACAGGTTCAGTTTTCCCTTGCCCTACAGAAACAAACCATCTGCAAATGCTATGCTTCGGTTTAGCTACTGCTTCATAATAAATTATTACAAGACTTGGTTGCTCAACATAACCATATTTCCTTGCTTTCACAGCATCTGCGAGTCAAGCGTTCATTGGTAGCACAGTTGGGCAGCTGTGTATTGACCGGTGAGGGAGAAAGGAAGATCCCTCTGAGGTGGCTCACTCGTGCAGCACTCAAGTGGGTCCTCCTCATTTTAGCATTGCCACAGTGCTACTTCAGTTTTCTCACAAGTTGTCGGCTGGTGTCCCCCAGAGAAGGTCAGGAAGCCCACCTAGAAGCTACATCTTCATAAACTAGCCTGGGGAAGCCACACAGTTATTTCCTCTGTATTTTTTTTTTTTTTTGGTCACATGCCCTGACCCTGACTAAACATGGAAGAGGACAGGGAAAATACTTGGGAAGGGTGTTCAGGGTGTTCATCGCGGTCACCACTTCTCCTCTACTGTCTCAGGCAGAGTTCCTAAAAGCAGTCGAGGACGGCTCCAAGTACAGCATTCAGAACAGCAATTCGTTGAAAAACGTTGGCAGGGGTTCCGATACTGAGTGTCCAGGGAAAAAAGCCCCCAGGCCTGATCCCAGAATGGGCCTGAAGAGAAACCATTCCCATCACTGTGGTCACTGTCACCACTCTCCTACTGAACACCGCAAAGAGTGACCTCCACTGTCATCGTACACAGCCTCAGGACTGCTACTCCTCAGAAAGCCAAAGTTGCAGCTACCACCTGCTCAGCAAAGCTCTGTACAAGAAGGCCTCTTCCCAAGTGCTTGCCGCTGGGCAGATGGTTCTGTGGGGTGTTTAATGGATGCCATATGCATTGCATTCCTGCATCCCACCTGTAAGAGAAATTAGAAATGTCAGTTTTCTGAGATCTACTAGGATGAAGCAAGGTGCGAGAAACTGGAAACATCCCAAACATAACAAGGGTTTTCAAAACAGAATGACAAATTCTTTGTTGTGATATCCTCTCCCCTGTTAACCCTTGAAATTGGTGTGTTGTCTCATTATGGCACATCTCAGTTGGTCCCTGAGGGTAACGGGCCTCACTACCCTCGTGGTCCTCCTGCGCCTAATCGGGGAAATTGAAGTAGCCCTTGGTCAGTATATTTAACCAGACTCCCCAGAAATGGACCTGAGGGAAAAATTCACATCTGTGTGATTTAGTAAAGAGGTGTCTCTAGAGGAGCCAGATTAGGAAATGTGAATAAGACAAACAGGAAGAAGTCAAGTAAGAAAGGACTAGTTTCCAGGCAAGTCCCATGGAAGACATTCAGCCTGATCCCACGGTGGAAGGCTGAAGGGGAAGGTAGCCCAGAGTTATCTTTCCCTGAGGCCAGGGAGCTGAGCTTTCACAATCTACCTGGCAGGGACATGAAGTTCAAGGACTTTCCAGCACTGTGATCTTGCAAGGAAGAAGCAGTCCTCTGGGAAAGAGAGCCAGATCTGGACCCTTGAAGATAAAAGCACACAAATGCCTTTGGGAGAAAGGTGCACAGATGTGACAGAGAGGACATGAGGGCTTCTGAGTTTCTGCAGACAAGCAATGCCCAGTACAGCCAGGTCTGTGGTGTAGTAGTGCTGAGGCGGGACCGCTTGGGGGTCCCTGGACAGACCACCGACCACCGAGTAGGAGCAAAATCAGCTTTATTGCCGGCAGCTCCAAGAGATTCAAATCACCTTGAAAGCATCAAACAGAGGTTGACTCTCATTTTTATACCTTTACGTTTCTATGGGAGGAGGAAACAGCAACCATAATCGCCAGAGAAACAGCCATCAATCTAATCTAATTACATAAGCAGAGGGGCAGTGAAGGAGGGGCAAGAGTTTTGGCAGGGCTTTCTGAAATCACCTCACTCGCGTGAGTCTGCAGTGCAGTAGTGACTGTAGTTACAATATATCGTTCTCAGCAAGTACCGCTGCACAGTTAACCCACAGTTGCCCATTTTTACACCTGGAGACAGTTTTCATCCTCAGTGTCGTCTACACCTCCACAGGTACTGTTGCAACTGGAACCACAACTACAGTCTTGTCTTTAATCAGCTACCAATGAACTGTGCTTCTCTAAATCTCCTGAGAAAATGTGGATCTTCAACCAAACAGAGCTAGCGTACCTCAAATACACCCAAGCCCTTTTTGCCTTTACACCATCCCGTGCCAGGAATGCTTTCCCCTCAGTTTCACCTACGCTATAGTGCTGTAAGCTCCAGCTCCAGTGTTGGGAGTATCATTGGGTCTGCCCTAAGTCACACTGGCATTCAGGGCTGGCACTCTCAAAAATATGACAATACTCTATTTTTAACTTTCTTAAGATATTTATTATACTGTATTTATTTGCTTGTCTTATCTTCCTCTAATGATTTTGGACTCTTTAGAGCAATGACTGTCTCCTACAAAACTATTTTCTTCACACTATCTTCTTTTTTTATTGAGCTTATTGGTACATTCTAGGTATTCAGTACAGTTACATTCATTACTGGGATCTTGTACCTCTACACGACAGGTCTTGGTTCTCATTTTTTCCCCCTTTCCCTGCCCTCCCTTCACCCCCTCCTCCTCTCCCCATTTACAAACGCTTTATTTCCATTTTTTCATTTTCTCATGTTTTTTCTTTTCCTTTATTCCCTTTCCCCTATTCATACTATTTCTTAATTGCCTTCACTTCAGTGGATTTTTTGAAAGAATGGAAGAATCCTGCTTTTGAGTTCACAGAACATCCAGAACTTTGCAGTTTGTTTTTATAGAGCATTCTTTAAAGCCAAATTAATCTATATATATTTTAAAGAAACCTCCAACATATTACCTTAAATATATGCCTCTGCTGAAAGCAGAGGAATAATAAAATATACTTTCATGCCATGATTCCTGATCTAAAAATAAGTTTTGAACTAGAAAGTCTCCTTTTGAGTCTCCAGACACAGTTTTTCAGAAGTTCCCTGAGCTTTTTAGATGACCCTTGGCCAGGTGGACATCCATCTTTCCCCTGCTAGTGACGGGCCGGTGGCTCCTTTTCATTCTTAGCTCTCAGCATAAACCTTCCAAAGCCTTGGGTGTGTCCCAAGGTAATTGTCTCCCTTTTCCAGCTGAAATTGAAAGTTGTCTGACAGAGATTACATTACATATACAGACATGCAGGGCCAACCATAACTCTCAGCTCACTGTAGGCATTCCATTATTGAGTGTTAAATGCCTGAAAAGAAGAGGTTGCTTCAGAGAGAAATCTTATTAAGCAAGATGACAAAAAATTACAAAGTAGAGAAATTTAACTTTACAAAAGTTGAAAAGATTCTGTATAATAAAATATAAATAAACCAAGAGAAATGTGAAAAATACCTGGAACACATATGACAAACCATAGATTTGTTTATGCGTCCCCTCAAAATTAAGTAACTGATCTTACATAAGAAAAGCATTTTATTTTATGAGAAACATAAAGTGGAGCGTAGGACTCCCATATGAGGAAAATGAAATTACTGTCAAAGACAACAAATTTAGTTAACCCCAAATAAGCAATGATGATTTACAGTGCTGTTGCTAAATTTCCACTGAATACTGGGATTATTTCCTGCCCTCCCGCCTCCCAATCCCAGGACTTCCGGAGCCACCTGTGTCTGCACAGAAGTTGATCAGTCCCTGTGAGAGGCGCCCCCGACGCCCGTGGCCTTCCAGCTGGTCATCTGGGAGCAGCGCCATCTTGTTGGTCTTTGTATCCCACGCCAACATGATGTCTGCCGTAAAGCAGGTCCTGCAAAGGCAGCGAGGGCAATGGCTCAGAGCCTGGGCGCAGGCAGGAGGTGAGGAAGCACACTAGAAAGCCATCGAGCTTCTGCCTGGCAATTGAGGGGCTGCGTGGGAAATATCGAAAGCTGGAGTCTATAACTGCCGCGGGTCCCTCTGTCTCACTCGATGGGGGCAGCCGAGGAAGAATACGAATTGCGAGGGGGATGCATGGATGCAATGGCTGTATAAGGCAGCGGGAACGCGAATACATCAGGGAAGCTCGCTAAGGCTACTGGGTAGCAATGAGCGTACTGTTGAGATTTGCGATCATGAAACTAAAGCAAGAACCAGGAGACATGATTAGTGAGGCATTGTTCAGCAATAACCAGCTGTTCGGGTGCGGGTAGTGAAGAGGTAGACAGTTGGATTTCATAAAATCGTTTGTTTTAGAGATGAAAGAGCTACTGGGGAGAAGGCCTACCAGAGGTGATTAGCGTAATAGGCCTCTAAATCGAGAAAGAAGAGAAATGCACATAGAATAAGTGCCTGATGGTGGAAATATATTAGGGTTAGAGCATTAAGTCCTGTTGAGGTCAAAGAGTTGTTGGAGTAGGGATTCTAGAGTAATGGAGGGAGAAGGGGAGAAAGAAGGGTCAGAGGATGGGGTAGTAGGCTCCTTCTTCAGGACTCAGCCTCTTAGGAGGATGAAATACTCACATTATGGCCGTAGTAGTTACTAGGAGCATCTTTGTTCCACATTCGAGGTTCCATCCATGTTCCACGGAACATCTTTGTGGTTGCGGAAATCTCCAAGGGTGGAGTGGAAATGTGAGTTCTGACAGGTGAGTCCTTCAATGCAGTCGGGATGTGGATGGTATTCAAACATCTCCAGAATTCTGTGATGTGACATGTTTATTTTCACTTTACAAGAGAGGCTACCCTGGATTAGTGTTTGAAGTCCCTTAGATAGTAAGTGGTTGTGCTGGAATTTGAACGAAAGCTCCTTTTGCTCTAAAGCTTATTAAAGTATTTCTATGCCAATAATTGCCTTCCATTTTTCACTGGTAAAACCAAGCAGAATGAAGTGAACTGACATTCTCAATTAATGAATTCTAAGCCTGGCGGGAAAAAAAAAGGCAGTGCTAACTGCCTAGGAAGTAGACACTAGAAACTCTGTCTCATGGGTATCATCAGCTTCCAGACACTGGTCCTTGGAGGACTCAGTAGGGTTCTGGAAGAAAAGGAACATGGTTGAGCTGCAGAAGCTTGGAGCTAAAAGGAACATTAGAAAGTGCTTCGGTCAACTTATTTTCTTCTTAGAAAACTGATGCTCAGAAAAGTTAAGTGACTTGCCTAACATGACAAAGCTCATTGGTAAAGCCAAGTCTAAGTCATGTGACACAGAAAGGGCCAGAGACTGTGGCTTTTTTCTCTCATACCGAGAGGACTTTAAGTCAGGATTTCTGAGGCTGTATGTCTTTTATTAGACAATAGTTGAGGTTAATCCACTTTTATCAGGAGTCTGCTTGGAAGTGCAGGTTGATTGTGGACATCCATGTGGTTTTTCTGATGGCCAGCTACTTCTCAGATCCAAGAATAGCCTCTTTATGGAAACCATTACTGTCACTTGCTCTAAACCAGAAGCAAGAGTCTTCTTCCTGATGAAACTTTTCTCAAGATTCCCCTGAGTAACTGGTGGGTCAGTTACCTGCTACAAAGAATGAGGCTCTAACTACTGAGCACTAAAATGTGACACCACAGAGGGTCCTCATCACTGCCGCTTGAAAGTTTGACAGTACACTAGCTCGCCGGTTTCTTCAGTGAAGTCGGAGTCAGCAGATGGGTGGGTTTTATACCTTCCAGCCTTACACTGCTCCTCTATTGGGGGGAAAGGAAGTGGGAGAGATTGGCCTGGAGGAGAAGCAGAGATGAATTAGGAAGTCACTTCTTTTTTCATGAGTGCTTACTCTAGGAATAATTGATCAGTGCTCATCAGCATCACTGAACATTGTGTTAAGCATCCTTCGGCTTGAAGACATCATCTTTCTAAAGTGAGAGCTATTAAGGCAAGTGGCAGTCAGTGTAGGGCTTCATAAATTATGAATTTACTAGTCATAGACAAATTCAGATAACCCTGCAATCAGGAGACAGATGGTAATTAGAAGCAACTCTTCTTTCCATTCTGTTTACCTCCTGAGGAAATTAGGCTTTGATTTGGATTTGTTTGAATGCTATGATTCTCTTTGAAACAAAGTCAAAGAATAATGACCTCAAAGCATAACACATGTTTTCCAGATTTGCAGTAGAAAAGTTCATTCCGGTATGGTTTAAAAATCGACAACTTAAAAGAAAATGACCCACTATGTGCTGTTGTGAATTATGGCCATTGATTAGCTCAGCGGGGAGGATGGAGCAGAACAGCCTCCATTTCTGAAATCTGATCTTCCCCACCATTGGAGACAAACTTCAGCTCTAACTGGCTTGACCAAACTAAAACAGAGAGGCCAGCCAGTGATGACCCAGTGAGTACACTCGTTTTCCAGCCCCCTGCTGTCTACAGCACAAGACCCCCCCCACAGACTTGAGAGAAGTAGTAAGAAAATTCATGAACTCTTTTGTATTGAATCCTGTCTTCCCCTCTGAACTCCCAACCCTAATGAAATGTCAGGCAGAAGCAGAGTGTGGTTTTCCCCCTCTGTCCTCAACAGGACAGGTGATTTCATTAACATTTTAAAATGTGGTCAACATCGCAGAAGAAGGCTGTCTTGTAGCAATAATCTTTAGAGAACAATCAAATACGTTTTTCCTAAAGGTTTTTCAGAATATCAGGAGCCAAGTCTCCCAGTGATTTATCTAGCTATAGTCTTGAGAATTTATCATCTGCACTATGAGAAGGTGCCTTTGAATAACCAGCCTCCAAAGAGAAATATTAACGGTAGTGTCCAATATTTACTTGGTGTATTGTTTCACAAAGTATGGTGCATATATCTATATAGATGTCTCAAGTGAGATGCAAGGTGGTTTGGGGTCCTACCTAATAAACATTTGTTATTTAAAGATTATATATAATAACTACAATTGTCAAAAGGTGAAGATGAAAATATAACCAGCTCATCAATTATTAAAATGAATGATTTAGCTTTCTAGGGAGAAGCATGATTTTCGTTTCTTTTTTTGTTTTGTTTTTTTTGAGACAGGGTCTCACTATGTAGTTCAGACTGCTCTGGAACTCACTGTGTAGCCCAGGCTTGTCTCAAACACACAGAAATCCTCATGCCTCAGCATCCCGAGTGCTGGGATTATAGGTGAGCACCACCACACCCAGCAGAGAAGCACAATTTTTAAAAAATGATTTAAATAATGTCAATTTAACAATTTAAGTACTAAGAGTCAGTACTTAAATATGGCGATGCTTTGCCAGTAATTACTTGTGCCTGTTATGTTCCAGGCACTCAGTGATGGTTTGAAGTGGGTTAAGCTATACCTGCTCAATGAGCTAATCTGCCTACTGCAGGGTCTGCTTCTGCCTGACATTTGTCCTCTACCTTCTTGTTTTTAAATATTTTTTCAAAATAAAACTGTATTCAATACTTATTTATTTGGGGTTTTTTTGTTTTTGTAGTGCTGAGGATGGAACCCAGGGCCTTTGCACATGCTAAGCAAGTGTTCAATCTCTGAGCTGCAGCCCCAGCTGTTCAACCCAATTTTAAAGTCTAGCTGCAAAAACATTGCTGGGCCTTTTCATAACCAAAAACACCCACCCAAACATTTGCTACGAACATGATAGCAAAAGGGTGTAGTATATAATGGAACTTTCATTAGGAAAGTAGAATTTTAGGTATTTCCTTTTAAAAAATAATCTCCCAAGGAAAACATCTACTTTTGTTGTAGCTAAAAGTAGGCCATCAACTTTTGGAAGAGAGTGTATTTTCTGAATGATACTAGTAAGTTAATCTGCTCCTCTACCCTTGCATGCTACACACCACTCATAATGCCCTGCACCTGAGTGAAATCTGATTCACAACAGGCATGGAACAAACATCCAAAGAAGGGTCAGGCACAGTGGTGTGCAGTGTGCACCTGTAGTCTCGGCACTAGGGAGGCTGAGGCATGAGGTTCTCTTGAGCCTGGGAGTTAGAGGCCAACTTGGGCAGCATATTGAGAACAGTTTAACAAACAAACAAAGAAACAAACAAACATTAAAAATGTTTAAATCTAAAAGAAGGAAAAGTGTAGCTATCACAAGAAAGTAAGAGGCAAACTGGAGATGGTGTGGAGGGGGTGAAAAGAATGTTGCTAGGCAATCAGCCCCAATAGTTAACTCACATATGTCCATAACTTATGTACATGTATTACATATACATATCGATCATTTTCTGACCGCTCTTTTCCCCTTTCTACCCTTCTCCCTTCCCTGATCCTCCTCTCCTGCTTCAGAAAGTCTACCTTTATTTTATTCATTAATCACGGTAATGGAGGGGATTCCTCAAGATGAATGTGATTATTATGTATTGTGAACCTAGACTAATAAAAAAGAAAAGAAAAAATTTATAATCGTGTTTCTTATGGAAGAGAAATTATGTGATAATTACATCTTTGTGTCTGATTTATTTCACTTAGCATTATGGTCTAAAGCTCTATTTTCTTACAAATGACTCAAATTAACTCTTCTTTATGGCTGAATAAAATCCCACTGGGCACACACACCACATTTTCTTGTCAGTCCGTAGTCTAGCATCTTGCGCAGTCCTTTGGTATTCCTGTAGCCTGCCAGAAAGTGTGTCTGGGGTCCCCAAAGCTCAAGATGCCAGTGGTTATCAGTCTGAGTGGTTGCCCCTTTAGAGACTAGAACTTCGGCAGAAATCTAAGCATTCTGCTTCCCTTTTAGATTTATATTTGCAGCTTCTTAGCACAACTACAGGCTTTTCCCTGGGTAGGTAAGCTCATTGAGCAGGGAGATCTTAGTCCACTGTTCCTGCCCTATCTTCTTGGGGCTACAAGTCTTACCTGGGCAAGATTCTCAGGTAGAGACATTCTAGAATTTACAGAAATTTATAGATAGAGGGGATTCTCAGCTGCTTGCTATCAAAGGGCCTCGCTCCCATGTAGTTATTTGTTGTACTGATTACATAAAAGCAAGCAAGCAATCCCATATCTCACCAAGAAGTTTCAATTTATACTCTTTCCTCTAGGCTAAAATGTTATCTTCTGATCTTGTCCTGGGTCCAACAGTTAAACGCACAGAAAGAAAACTGGTTTCACTTGTCCAATGTGTCTTAGTCCTTTTTGTGTGGCTGCAACAGGGTACTTAATACAGAGAGAGGTATATTTAGCTCAGAGGTTTGGAAGCTGAAAATCGAAAGGTAGGTGGCCCCATCCACTCAGCCTCTGGTGAGAGTGTGGGGCTATGTCGGGGTGTGGTGGTAGCCTTGTGGGGAACGTGTGTGAGAAGTAGTGATCACATGACAAGACAGGAACTAGGGGGACACTAGGCTCATTGTTTTATAACTACCCACTCTCACCTGAATGATTTGGATGTTAGGAACAGAATTCACTGCAGGAGATCAACATTCAGCCATTCACAAGGGTGGAGTGCCATAACCTAATTACCTTCTGCCGGATCTCCCTCCTCAAAAATTCCACCACCTCAGTATCCCCAAAGCGGGGGCTGCTGTTTTAGCACACAAATTTGGCAGTGGTGGGGTAGCGAATCATAAACAAACTGCCACACAGTTTAGTCACCCAGCACTTTTCTTCTCCTAAAATGGCGTTGTGCAGGATGTGCCAGGAACCTAACTATTGTGCTTTAAACATACATGACATCTGTTTTTCTCATAAAGAGGAAATCCAGAGGTGAGAAGTGCAGAGCTCTTGCAGGAGATTGGGGAAATTGTTGATCTGAGGTCTCTCTAACTTGCTTCTCCACCTTCCTTGACAGGAAGGGCTCTTCCTTATGGTTGAAAGAGGACATTGCAATTACGTTCAAGTAGGAAGAGGGAGACAGTCAATAGATAAAATGTGTAAGTACAGTTTTTTGTTTTTATTAGTACATGTTTGAAGTACATGTGATTACACCCATTGTGAGGTGTTGGTACAGGTACAAGCACGTCTTAATTATTTTTTCATTCCCTTCTTTCCTACTCTCTCCAGTCTCCCTCTTCTGGAGTCTATTTATTGGAAAAATATAGCTGAGAACGAACCTTTGCCAGTGGAACTTCATCAGATAACTTGGGGAAATGGGTACTTGTCATCCTAAGCAAAAATCAGGTTATGCTGGAAATAAAACACCCTTATATGGAAAACTGTAGTACTCTGCGAGCGGACGTCAGAAAATGGAAAGACATCCCTTGTTAGTAGATAGGAAGAACCAGCATGGTGAAAATGGCCATGTTTCCAAAAATTCTGATACAGATTTAATGCAGTTTCCATCAAAATAACAACAGCATATATCACAGAATTAGACAAAACAATCCTAAAATTCATTTGGAACCAGAAGAGACCTAGAAGTGCAAAAGCAATTCTGGGCAGCAAAGGCAAGGCTAGAAGCATCACAATCCCTGATTTGAAATTATACCACAAACCTACTGCAATAAAAACATCATGGCACTGGCAAAAAAACAGACCCGAGGATCAATGGAACAGATTAAAAGATGCAGAAACAACTCTAAGCACAAAGATAAGCAACCTTATCTTTGGGAAAAGAGACAAAAACTGGAAGAAAAATAGCCTCTTTAATAAATGGTGCTGGAATAACTGGTTTTCCATGTGCCGAAGTTTAAAACTAGTCTCATGTCATTCACCACACACTAAACTAAAATTGAAATCGATCAAAGATCTAAATATTAACACAGAAACACTAAATATGCTGGAAGATAAAATAGGTAGAACTCTTGAAGACACAAGTGTAGGCA